TTTTGTCAACCTTACTGTAGCCTGATTGTCAATTCTCAAAACTGGTGTTCTTTTTAGCTCTTCCATTTCTTGAAATAATTTCTTTAACCAGATAATTTCCTTGACAGCCTCATTTGCAGCTACAAGCTCTGCTTCAGTTGTCGATGTAGCAATCATCGCTTGTCTTTGACTAAGCCAAGAGATAGCTCCATCTGCGTGTGTGACGACCATGCCTGACGTCAATCGACTTGTTTTATTGCATCCACCAAAGTCTGCATCACTGTAACATTCTAGTATGCCCTTGTTAATGTTTGGATGATAAGTTATACCTAGATTGCAAGTACCTGCGATGTATCTCAATACTCGCTTTAATTTTACTATATCTTCTGCGGTTGCAGAGTCAAGCGATCTAGATAGAAATTCTATGCTATATACTAGATCGGGTCTTGTCCCGGTCATTAAGTACATTAGTGCACCGACAGCTTGCCGATAGGGAAAATCATACTTCTTTGTGCTTTGCTTATCTGTTTTTGAAATCTCTGGTTCTCGTAACAAAGGCGTTGAAACTGGCTTACTGTCTACAAAATTAAATCGGTTTAATATTTTCTTTGCGTATGCTTGTTGACTTATCTTTATTGCTCCATCGTTTAGACGCTCAATTTCAAAACCAAGAAAATACGATGCTTGTTTCACAGTGATCTTGAATTCAACCTTCAGCTCTTTGATAAGGACATCAGCATCTTCCTGATCAGTTGCTGCTACTAGTCCATCGTCAACATAGAGAGCAATCATGAGTTTTCTGTTGCCCTCTTTTTTAATATATAGGCAGGGATCTGCTTCACTTCCCTTGAAACCTGCTGATTGAAGAAAGGCACCAAACGTTTACTCCAACACCTTGGGGTCTGTTTAAGCCCATACAAACTGCGTTTGAGTCTGCAAACTCGATCGGTGCTATCCTTATACCCTTCCGGCTGCTGCATATAGATTGTTTCTTCTAATTTTCTATATAAGAATGCTGTAGACACATCGAACTGCATTAGATGCATTTTATTGGTTGTAGCAATACTAAGCATTGATCGAATTGTACTTAATCTGGCTACTGGACTAAATGTTTGATCATAGTCTTTGCTATAACGTTGACTAAAATCCTTGATAACGAGCCTTGTTTTATACTTATCCACACTGCCATCTGGATAAGTTTTTATACGAAGAACCCACTTGCATAATATGGCTTTCGCTCCTTTTGGCAGGGTAGTCAGTTCCCACGTCTGGCTTTTCAATAATGATTTTATTTACTGTCCATAGCCTGTTTCCACTCAGTACTTTGCTTGCTTTTGAGTGCCTCTTCATATGTTGCCGGATTATTTGCCTCATTAATCTCTTCAACGATCATAACATAATCGTCCAAATATGATGGTCTTTTTAATGTCGAACGATCTTTTAGCGATGGTTCCCGAGTTGGTGTGAAAAATTCTTCTGTATCAGTACTGCTTGTCTCTTCAGTCTCGGATTTTTCAGAAATGTCTTGGTTAAAATCTTCTTTTTTTTTATCTTCTTCCTGTATTGTATTTTTTTCTTGATTTTCTTGATGCTTGATATCCTCGAATGGTAGCTTGACATATTTCTCACATTTACCTAATTTTTTTTGGAAGATTATATCTCGACAGAGAATTACTTTATTTTCTTCCTTTATCCAAATTCTATAGCGCTCGTCTCCGTCATATCCTACTAGATATCCCTTGACCGCTTTTCTATCCATTTTCCGTCGTCTCTGAGCTGATATGTGGGCATAACAAATGAATCCTATTATACGCAGATGTTTTATTCTGGGTTTTTTATCTGTTTTTTACTATAGCTCAAATGGGCTGACTTCTTCTACAGATGATCTTCCTGTTCGATTTAATATGTATACTGTTGCTCCAACCAACTCTGCCCACATTGCTGCCGGAAAATTTGCTTCTTTATTTGAATATTTGAATGTTCTTGCCATTTCAACTATAGTGCGCATTTCACGTTTGCTGCCACCATTTTGCTGAGGAGTATAGAGTGCTGTCAGCCTTTGCGTGATACCTTCTGCCTTTAAGATTTCTTGTATTTGTTTGTTATCAAATTTTCCGCCATTATCACTGAGTAGTTCCCTGATTGTATGACCCAGTGTTTTTGAATGTTGAAGAACATGTATTAGTGCACATTTGACTTCTGATTTCTCTCTCATAAGATAACAATAGCGAAATTTCGTATAACTATTCTTAAAAATAACTAAATATTTTTTCTTTTGAAAGGATTCGTCAAATGGTCCGCACACATCCGTTGACATTAATTCTCCAGGATAAGACGCTTTTTCTCTATGTCCAAACGGCAATCGATGTGTCTTTCCGTAAATACATGGTTCGCAAAGCTCTTTTTCAAAAAGGACGTTTATACCTAATTTATTTCTCAGTATTCCTTTAATGTGACATTTATCTTGATGTCCCCATCTTTCATGATACAATTGCAGTAACAATGTATCACCAACTGTGTTTATTTCAATTATTTCAATTATTTAGGTATGACTGGATTAATCGCTGCTTTGTACAGTGTTCCGTATGCTTCGCGTGTTCCATGCAGAACTTCTTTACCATTTATTGTAAGCCAACACTTTGTTGCTGACGACTCAAATTTGTTATTGGGATTTTTATCTTGTGCAGTTAGCACTGAAAATAAATTTCTGGACAAACTCGGAACATACCAGACGTCTTCTAAGGTTACATCTTGACCATTTGTCGTCAATAATTTCATGGTTCTCTTTCCCAATGCTGTGAAGGTTTCCTTTCCTGCTGCTCTGATGCCACAAGAATTTTTAAATTTTTGAAAATCTGAAAAATATTTGGAACTGTTAGTTACGTGTTTAGTAGCTCCATTATCGATCCACCAAATTGTTGAATCGGTTTCAGTCGTATATGCCTCCTCGGAGACAGACATGAGTACGGCACTAGCAGTTGCCGAAGTTTCCTTAGTATTGACCTTGTCCTCAGTTTTATTAGGTTTTCCATCAGCAATCCATTTTTTGCAAGTCCTCACCCAATGACCTTTTCGTTCACAATAGCTGCACACATCGTCCTTTTTCGACCTGTATTTAATTATCTTGTTTTTGTCGTCTTGTTTTTGCTTGTTCAGATCTGCGACTAATGCCTCCTGTACTTGTTTATCATTATTCATGTCCTTCAAAAAATTTCTCTCAAACATGCATAATTGAATCGTTAATTTATCGAATGTTTTACTTTCAGTTTTTGTTAGTAACATCCAGCTTGATTGAAAAGTTGAGAATTGACTTGGCAAAATATGTAAAGTCTTGCAGACTAACATGAGATCTGGTAATACATTTTCAATTTTAGCTTTAAGCCCGTTATTCAACTCATTCCATAATTTTTTCAATCTTGCTATATGAGTTGAAACGTCTTTACCTTGTGTCCAGCTAAAGGCGAAAAATTCTGTACATATTTTGAATAATTGATCTCTTGATGTGGCCTCAAATTGATTCCTTAATGCATCCCATGCATCAGCAGCTGTTTCCGTATCCATTATCTTCTGATAAACTTCATCAGTAATAGAGCTTGTAATCATAGATTTTGCATAGCTGTTTGCCTTACGATACAAATCGGAACGTTCCTTGTGCTGTTTAATTTGCGTATCTGTAGCTTCTTCCGTTAGCGGTTCAAGCTTTACGAGTCTTCTGTCGATGACGTCCAATGCTCCTTCGTGATAATCTATTAAATCCCGTATTTTCTTTTTCCACAGTGACCAATCTGACACTCCAGTCAACGGCTTGATGTGTTTTGATAAATTCATTTTTATACTGTATTTTTTAATTAAAAACGTCTCGAACTTTCTTAACCTCAAATTCAACACGTGCCTAATACTATTCTTTTGCTATGATTTCTTTTGTGTTGTATTCCTTCAAAAGGACGCGACTCTGAGCCCATAACCTGTTATTTTTTATACTGTATTTATTCTTGTGATAAGAAATACATAGCAAAGTAGATTAATAACAACTTCGTAATAATTGCACGCGTTGTTATCTCTCTTTGGACACTATTTAGAGTGCGTTCGACTTAACGCCCGCAACGACCGCGACCACACCGCAAAATTGCGCGTTCCACTAACTCGCAAACGTCGCGAGCGAAAATTTTAGTGGAACGCATTAGACGACCACGGCATCTTCTTCTGATAAATTTTCTTCTATAACTGTGTCGCTTTCAGTATTGTAAAAAGGAATTATTTGCGACAACATTGTCAAACACTGTCAAACACTACGAACATTCTAGTTTAAAAACACGCGCAAAAATAGCTAAAATCACGACGACCCACGTTTGAACCACGGGCGTCGTGAGCTCAACGCGGTCGCAATCATTGACGTCATATGACGTTTCAAGTGTGACCACAGCGACCGTGGTCGTTCAGTAGAACGAGATAACGGGTGTTGCGAGCGCTATGGACGTTAAGTAAAACGCACCCTTAGACGACTGCTATATCGCACTATCTACAGCGTGAACTTAAGAACTAAAACAAAATAATGGCGGTAACTTTAATTATAATATTGTTGCATTTTATACTTTAACAATTCATACACACATACACGTGCACGCACACACAATTGTTGTAACTTATAGTTTCGTTTCTTAATTGTGTATTTTATGATTTGTTTCCAGAGCAGATGTTAGGAATAACTTGACAACGGCGATAGCGCAAATAAATATCATGATCACACTGTTCCAGCAGATGGAACAGAACACAATCAGCACGAACGATATAATGAGTGCTGTAATGGATGTGTTGTCCGCGGACTTCTCCATTTAATTGTAGGTATCACGGTTTTTTTCTTTTATCTATAGAAATCGTTTTATTAATATTTTTTTTTTGTTATAGATAATAATATTCAGCAGATTTTTTTAAAAATATTATATTATACAATAATAAAACATTATAATATATTCTATTATATTATACAATAATAAAACATTTTTTAAAAATATTTTAAAGGAATGTTCCCGAAATTGAAATTACATAAAACGAATTTAAAGTTACGGTCTTATTGTAAAGAAAGTTTTGTGCCACTCGGTTTTATTAAAGTAAAGGTTGAAGATTTGAATGAAATTAAAGTGCTAAACATATATGTTGTTAAATATGATAAAGATCCATTGTTAGGTCGAGAATGGATTAATCAATTAAAAACTTTAAATAAAGTTAAAAGTAGTTTGATGGAAATAGAAGTTCAAATATTAGAAGAATTAAATAAAATAAAATTAAAAAATTTATTTAAAAAATACAATAATATATTAAATAAAGAATTTGCTTATATTAAAAATTACAAGGCACATTTGAAATTAAAACCGGATGCAAGGCCAGTGTTTATTAAAAATCGTACGGTGCCATTTAAAATATTAGAAAAGGTTGAAAAGGAACTCGAGAGTACGATAGAAGCTGGAATTTTAGAGAAAGTAGAATCTTCAAGATGGGCTACCTCTATTGTGCCCGTGTTAAAAAAACGGTGGAATTCGTATTTGTGGTGACTTTAGTGTCACGGTAAATCCAGCTTTAATAATAGATGAACATCCTTTACCTACGACTGAGGAGTTGTTTGCATTTATGTCCGGCGGCACGATATTTTCTAAGATTGATTTAAAACAAGCATATTTACAATTGCCAGTCGAGGAAGAGAAATACTTACGTTAAGTACTCATAAAGGTTTATTTAAATGTAATAGACTAATGTACGGAGTGGCATCCGCACCTGCTATTTGGCAGAGAACTATGGAGAATATCCTAGCTGGAATACCCGATGTGGCGATATTTTTAGATGACATTAGAATTGTGGAGAAAACTACTGAGCAGCATTTAAAACGTTTAGAATCAGTTTTTAAAAGATTGTCTGAACATAATATACGTATTTATACGTATTTATACGTATATTATGTTCAGAAAAGAACATTTATCTAAATTTATTTCTAAAAGATCAAATTTCATATTGTGGATATATAATAAGTAAAAAAGGAATTTCAAAAAAACCAAAGAAGATTGAGGCAGTTCAGAAAATGCCTAGGCCAACAAATATTACAGAATTGCGAGCCTTTATCGGATTAGTAAATTATTATGGCCATTTAATTGAAAACTTAAGTAAAAAATTATATCCTTTAAATAAATTATTAAAGAAAAACACAATTTTTAAGTGGACAAAGGAATGCGAAATTGCATTTAATAATATTAAAAGAGAATTTGAAAGTGAAAAAATGTTAATTCCATTTAATACAAAACTGCCTTTAGTACTCGCGGTGGATGCCAGCTCGGGGATCGTACGGATTAGAAGCCGTAGTGTCGCATGTGTACCCTGATGGTACAGAACGTGTAATTCAATATGCGTCAAATTCCTTAACGGAAATTTAAAAGAAATATGCCCAGATTGATAAGGAGGCACTTGCGATCATATTCGGAGTTAAAAAGTTTCATAAATTCCTGTATGGAAGTCGGTTTACCTTGTTAACGGATCACAAACCTTTAGCGCAAATTTTCAACCCGAAAAAGGGGCTACCGGCATACAGCGCAATGCGTATGCAGCGGTATTTTTACAAGCATTTAATTTTGATATTAAGTATCGTAAATCGGAAGAACATGGAAACGCCGATGGTTTTTCACGATTACCCATATAGGAAAGCAACGCAAATAGTTGCGACTCTATCGATGTTTTTCAAATTGAAAATTTAAAAGTATTACCTGTAACGGCAAAATGTATACGTGAGGAAACGGGAAAAGATAAATTGTGGTCAAAGATTTTGCAAGCTTTACAAAAAGATAAAAGTTTAGTTCCGTTGGGCTATAATGATAGCAAATTTACATTACAAGATAATGTAATTTAAAAAAAAGATAGAGTAGTAATTCCTGAAACATTAAAAGGTAAAGGCTAAAAAAATTACACGCAGGTCATTTTGACACAGTTAAAATGAAGCAATTAAGTAGAAACTTTTGCTGGTGGCCAAGAATCGATAAAGATATAGAGTCTGTAATAAAAAACTGTAAAGCATGTATGATGTACAGCAATAATCCGAGTTGTAAGACAAAACATCATTGGGAAGCAGCGTCACAACCATTCGAGCGAGTGCACGTAGATTTTGCTGGTCCTTTCATGGGATATATTTTTTTGGTTTTAGTGGACGCATATACAAAATGGCCTGAAGTACACTTGATAATTAATATGTCTGTGCCAAGTATGATAGATAAATGTCGACAAATTTTTGCCGCGTTTGGCCTACCACAGACTTTAATTTCAGATAATGGTCGCACATTTATAGCCACGGAATTTCAAGATTTTTTTTTTAAATAAATGGACTTGATCAAAAGCGCACAGCTCCTTATCATCCCGCCACAAATGGTTTAGCGGAGCGTTTTGTTCAAACTTTAAAACGAGCGTTGCGTAAACTAAAGATTGCTAACGGCAATATCAAAGCTAATCTGCAGAAATTTCTTTACCACTATAGATTAACACCACATCCGGAGTTAAATAAATCGCCCGCAGAAGCGATGTACGGTAGAAAATTAAGAAGCAGATTAGATTTGATGTTCCCTAAAATAAATAAAAACAATGAAATAATAGAGAATTTTGGGAAAGCAAACAATTTTAAGAAGGGCGAAAAGGTCGTCGTTAGAGAATATTTGAACAAAAATAACAAATGGCGTTTTGGCAATGTAATTACAAGGTTAGGAAAATTACACTATAAAGTTAAATTAGAAGATGGTAGAATATGTAAGTGCCATATTAATCAAATAAAAGGTATAGGAAGTCAAATTAGTAATAAGATACATTTCGACGATGTCGATCATAATGGCCCAATAGAAATAACTAAAGATATTGTTACTCCTGAAAATTATGCAGAAATAGAATTAGGGCAGGACAATTTCGACTCTGGAAGCTCGAGAGACTGCTCCGAGGATACTGCAGTATCAGAATCCGAGGAAGGGGGAATTGCTAAAAAGCCAATGTTCCACACACATCAGTCTCTCCAAAAACCAATGATAGCGAGCGTCAACCAACTGTAAGTTTAGATGACCGTCCGCGACGAAATAGAAAACCTCCAGAGAGGTTCAAAAATTATATGACATTGTTCTAATACGACTTATATATACTATTATTCTACATTGTGTATTGTGTTCGAGCTTTCTCCCTTGCGGGTTTAGATTTATCGGGGGAAGAGCTGATATATATTTTTGTATTGCGCGTGATCGAACTAATTGCACGTATCGCGCTGCTAGCGGTTACTTGCGCGGGAGAGCTCGCGACTCGCCGATATACGGCTCGCTCTCTCCTAGCGGCTCTCGCCACGTGTAGACCGCATTGCCGGTCGTATCAGTCCGCGACTAGCGGTTACATTTCTGTTACAAGTTATTAAATATATTGGCCTTAGTCATATTGGTGTGCAATTCAATTTGTATATTAATTCCCTTCCGTCCACCCATCCAGTTACCTTTATTTTATATTTTATATAATGACTGAAACGATATATATGGTACTCTCATTATTTCAGTCATTATCATATAAAATACAAAATAAAGATAACTATTTATT